AACAACGTTAATTTACTGTTACCTGGTTCTAAGGAGCAGAGATGGGAAGTAACGAAGTACAAATACTTCGTTACTGTACTCAAGTAGATTTTTCTGATATTTTTACTTTACTTTACTACTTATTTTTATGGCGACTTTTTACTTCTACTCCTTACATTTTTACACAAATATCTGTACTTTCTACTCCTTACATTTTAAAAAATTGGGTCGTTACTTTAGTTTTGAATCATTTCAATGGAGTTACCGTTATTATTTTTCATGTCATCAATACCAAATTCAATCTAATTGGATGGGAATCTATGTTGCATTTGATGTACCACTACAAGATGAATCGACAGATTCGGCGGTATTCATTCGAGGCAAATCATTGCAGCTTGGTGGCGGTGGCGTTAGCATAGTAGTATGGACAACGAGATGATTGAAAATGAACACAACGGAGATCTAGTCCTATTGGCAGACATCCATTTAAAATGTAGGCAACGGCATGAAAAAAGTGGTTTCTACTTTTACTTTTATACTTTAAGTAAATTTACAAGCCTCTACTTTGTTACTTTTACTTGAGTAAAGAAGTTTAATCAGTACTTCCACTTTTACCAGAGTATTTTTTAACACAAGTATCTGTACTTTTACTCAAGTACGGAAAGTGAGTACTTTTGCCATCACTGCTAAGGAGAGATAGATTTTGGGATCATATGGATAATACATAGAGAGCGTTTTTGTTTTGATTGATTCCAATGGAAGCGAATAGAGGCGGGAAAAAAAAGGCTGACCAGGGATGGAAGCCTGTGGAACCCTAAATGACAAAGTAGGACAGCACTCATAATTTAAACAACCTATATATATATATATATATATATATATATAGACGGGGCTGCCTTTTACAGCTGCTTTTTGTATCTCTGCTTCTGTCTCCTTGAACCCCAGTTGGCCTTGGCAGATGGCTGCTCACACCCAGTCTGGTTCTTCTGGAGGTTTTTTTTTCCTGTTAAAAGAGAGTTTTTCCTCTCCACTGTCTCTACAAGCATGCTTAGCGTAATGAATTGCCTTCGGGGCAATAAGTTGATGCAATCAAATGGTTTTCCTGAAAAAGAAAACTCAATTTGACTGTATTATCTGGTGAACTGTAAAGTGCCTTGAGAGGACATGTTTTGTGAATCTGTACTATATAATTAAACTAAACTGAATTGATTTATATCTTGTAGAATATAACAGAATTGTTTTACTTTTTTGGAGTATGCGAAGTTATAAGAGAATAATGGAGCCAAACCTTTTGTGAAATATGTTAGTGTTGTCCCATAACAGCCTATGAGCTTAGGCCCTTTCATAATGGATTAAATAAGTTTTCACACCCTGAGTGACAAACTTCCTCTCTTCTGTTACGTTCATGAATGGCACTGCTGATTTAAAATTTTTGCTGAGTAGAGCAGCGTGGTTCTTTGTCCTTTTAGATTCTGGCTCTCTGAAACAGCATTTATTCAGGGGGGCTGTTTGAAAGGGTTCAGCTGGGCTAAATAGGAAGCTGTTGCCTGTTGTTTGTACACGAAAAAGCTCTTTTGTTTTCCAGAGGAACAATTGAGCTTTTCACCAAAAGCCGGAGAGCACAGACAAACCTCACCGCTGCTGAGAGTCATGCTTTTACACTTAGACAGAGCTCAAGCTCTATCGCTATGTCTGAACCAGTGTCTGTCCCCTTTGTTAAACAGAAATGTAATATAGCAAAGGTCCAAGGATTTTTTTGAAACATTGATATTTTCAGCAGCATTTTGACAGTTTACATGTATTTTCAAAAGTTTCCTCTTATTCTATTCAGGGAAAAATCTTTTGGAAAATACTTAAGTAGATTTATTATACAATAACTTTGATTTTACATTTACCAAATGTTATTGTTTTGGATGCAGTAAAATTGATTACCAATACTAATTTCCCTGAACTTGTAAAACCCACACACATTTTCAGCAATAGAGGATGTGGACATCAGACCAAAGAAGAGCTCACCTCTGCAGTAATTCTGTTTTAATGTAGCTGCTGTCACTACTTGGTCACAAATAAGAATTTAAAGGTCATAATTTTAAAATCCTTTTCTTATCGTTCTGTCTCTTAGCTCATATTATTTATATTAATCTACATGACCTAGAAGAGAAATGTGTAAAAAGCATGAAAAGGGAGAAAAATGCTAACTGAAGGCAGCCAAGGAAGCAGCAGAAAGTTGCTGATGAATAAAGATTTTCCTTTTGAATATCAAACTAGGGTGTCAGAGCCAATATCTACAAAAAGACAAGAAGAAGAGTAAAAGAGTTTAAATTAAAAGTTAGGCTCGTAAAAAGAAGCTTCATAACATTATATCCACAGAGAAAGAAGGGAGAAATGTTAAATACACTGAAACTTTATAGTGAATATAAAAACACTTTTGAAGCCAGCTTCCCAGTAATTCAAGAAAGTAAGAAATGACCGTTTGTTAAAAAAATGATCATTTGAAGCATTCTGATTAATTTTCTTTGTGCTCCAGTTATGACTAACATTGCTACTAGGATGTGCACAGGCTTCAATCAGCCACAGCATTTATATTCTATGTCTGGACAAAGTTTTCTAACAACGTTAACTGGTCCTTAAAAGGTGATTGAAGCTAATGCAGCATGTCTAGTGATTAAAAGTGATGTAAAATGTTGATACATGCAAATTTGAACTAATATGTAGAAACTATTGATGAATCAGAGAACATCAGAGAAACTGAAAAAAATAAAGAGTGTCAAAGAAAGCATTCTCTTACTTGATTAACTTTGTTTACAAAAAAAGATCAGTGTTCACGTAGGTCTCACCACTGACTCCCTGTTTAAACATACACTGCTAAGTGTAATCGATATGTAGTCATTTTTTCTTAAATTTAAGAGAAATTTTTCTTGAATTGAGCAGGTAAGTGAGACAATTTGCTAATGGAATAAGACAATTTAGATTTAAAATAAGAACAAAACAATTGCAGTCTCTTATTTCATGTCCATAATATCTGATTATCTTCTTTTAAGCCTAAACATACTCATTCCATTGGCAGATCATCTTATTTACCCACTCAAATTAAGGGTAAATAGACTTATTTTAAGAATCTTTTACTCATTTTAAGATAGTTTTTGCAATGGTTTGGATTGTACCAGAGATGGGGGATCTGGAGTCATCAAGTCATCTCTATGTCATGTATTTGTTCTGACCCAGTGAGTCCAATCTGCACAGGTTAAACCAGATTGGACTCACCTGTTTCAGTGGCTGGGTAGAACAAATACATGACAAAGAGATGACTTGTTGACTCCAGATCCCCCATCTCTAGATTGTACAGTCCCATGAATCCTAAACATACATTTTTATTTAATTCTTTGAAAAAAAATAAAAAAATCTGTGTAGATTTTTTTTCTTTTTTTAATCAGGAGAAAAAAGGTGCTGTCACTTAAGATGCAGATAAGATGCATCCTGAATAGAAGGTGCTCACTTCCTGCTATTAATTACTTTATGCCAGAAGTATTACTAATCATGGCAGCTCATTACACTTATATAGGCCTAAATGATTTTTGTCCTCTAAAGTTGAAAATAAATTTATCGCTTAATCTGTAATTTTTATCTCCAACTCTTCCCAAAAAATTTTTCTGGTCATAGGATAAAAAATAAACCTGCAGGTAATAAATGCAGAGCCAATAAGCTCTAAGGGTTTTAATATCTATAAATTTAAAGATAAGAGTTTTGAGTAACTTTACAAGAAATGTTTATGATACCGATGTTTCATGTATGGAACCAATTATCTGCATTCATCTCTGTGAGCCTGACAGTATTAAACAAATTACGGATTTATCATGCCCTCTTTTATTGCAAAAATGATATATTACAAATTATGCGGAATACAAACAGACATTAAGCACTTGTCTAGCAGAAGATGTAGAAGGGCAGTGGATAAGAAAATATGAACTGTGATCATTTAATCGCTTGGTTTAACAAGTGAAAGTTAGATAAAAAATATAATTAAATTTTCAAGGTCAAAATCATTAACAACAGCAAACAAGGGAAATAATTGTAGATTATGGGGGAAAATATAAATGTCAACCTCTGGTTCCACATGGGAGAATAGATGGAACAAGTGGTAAATATATATAGTGTGCAGTCATTTTAAACGTAAGTTATATAGTCCTTTTTAATAGATTGGAATATGCATTCTGATGAGGTTTTTTGGTGGGATTCAAATTACCCTTTGAAAAAAACCTTTCAGCAGTTATTAAACCCATATATCTGCAAGAAAAAATGCTTGTTGATCTAATATTCGGATATCAAATGTTTTTAGCTGTACACTTAAAATTAAGAAATAAAGGCTTGAAAACATTGCTCTGTGTGATGATGTTTTTATATTAATTTTATTTACTGAAATAAAGTTTTCAAGAATTGCCATTACTGAATATGGCTTTAAATACTTCTCTATCCAGCTAAAGGCAAACTAGATTGAAAATAGAACAGAGAAGTCATCTGCAACAAAGAAGAGAGCTGACTGCAATTTTGAAGGGAAGCTTTGATCGTTCAGTGTTTCCAACAAGACTCTCCAGATAATTTATGAAGCTATTGTGGAGAGTACACAATCTGCTGTCATCTGTCAGGGGTTGCAAAATCACAGTCATTGAGGTAAAGCTGAACAAGCTGATGAAGGCCGACACTGTTCCAAGGACTGTGCTGGAACCCCCTGAGATGACTGTGGCCAGGAGGATTCTTCATTAAAGAGAACCCCACAGCATCTTCCTCAGACCTTCAACAGCAGTGTTTTCAGTCAGAGGGATCTCTATGTCTCCCATAATATTGACCGCTACAGGAAATCCTTCTTGCATACAACCATAAACATCTAAAACAAAGTTTTGAAGAACCCTGTATAATAGTTACAACAACTCTGCTAGCTTTTGAAATGAATGAAGTGGTTATTGAATGTTGATATTTGCAGCAGCTGTATGATGAAACTGTTTTTTGTGGCTCTCTGTCTGCAGGGGAGTACATGAGTAAAAAGGGAAAGTGCCATCTTTGTGATGTTACCTGTCTGCAGTGCACAGGCCCGGAGAGTGAGGCCTGCACCTCCTGCCCGAAAACAAGGTTCCAATCATTCTCAAGGAAATATTCCTAATATAGAGCGCATGTTTTACAATGCTGTTTCACACATTTTTTTGTTTCAACCATTTTTGAAGAAGATTAGATCAAGGCTTAGAGCATATCATGAAATGCATTGTTTATTATATCTTGATCTTATCAGCAGAGTTGATTAGACATTATTGGAGTCCATCAAACCTCAATTTAAAAAAGCTTCCAATTTTGTAGTGTAACATAATGATACTAAGACTATTTCAGAGCTTTTTAACTTTTTTAATACAATCTGTAAACTAGCTTAAAAATAAAAGCAAAGGATCTGAAATATTTTAGGGAGAAAATTAAACAGGACAACATTTGAGCTTTATATAAAATATTTGTTGACAGAAAAACCTCCAGAAAAATGTCTGCAGCACTGCACTAAACATTTAAAGTAGTGAGGCAGGCAGAAGCTAATTGTTTCTAAAAAGGCCCATTAAAGTCATGTGTTAAATGATCAAAATGGCACCCAAATGACTCCTGAACTATTAGAGTCAATTAAGAATCAAACCTGGCACTGCGCCTTTCCTCAGTACCAGCACTTCAGCTGAGCATGATTATTGGAGCTTTATTTTGCAGAGAAGTCTTATAAGGAAATAGCAGAAAGATGCATAAAAATATAAAACAAAACCTGACAATACATTTCCAGAATCCTCAGGACCTCAGACTCAAACTTAGGCTTAAATTTCAAGTAGACAATAACAAAAACCTACAGCCAAAACAAAGGACTGGCCTCAGACACACACACACATATAAATAAAGGAGTTTAAAGTCTTGGACTCAGCCAAGAAGAGTTGGATCTAAATCCAGCGGAGCTTCCCCCAGAGAGACCTGAAATTCACTCAGGGTCGATTCTGCCAAAAAGAAACAGAAAAACCTCCAAGACAAAGGTATGCCAAGCTTGTGAGATCTTTCCCAAAAACCGTAAGCTGCCAGAATCCTTCAGCCAAACACAAAGAGAAGTTTTTCAATTCTGATGTAAAGAGGCATATTTATGCGTAGAAAATGTTACAAAACACTATTAGACCTACCTCAGAGTGCCCCACTTGTTAATTAAGGAGGGAGGAAAAAACAAGCTGGATTCCTCAGGAGGCAAACCTGAAACAAAACAAAATGTTTTCCATCTGCACTGTTCATTTAAAAGATGTAAGCTAATTCTGCTGAAGTGGCTCATACATTGCATTAAAATCCAACTGCTGCATTTTAAATTGAAAGCAAAGCTGTTGCTGGTGTAAACTAAACTTGAAATCACAGATTATGTGAAACTGCTGGGTTCAGAGGTGAAATCAAACTTGTTTGTGTTTATGTTACAACTGTAGCTCTGTTTCAAATGTCAACGTAGGTTCTTTCAGGATGGACAGTGTGTTACCCACTGCCAGCAGGGGCGTTACGCCATGGGAGAACATTGTCTTCTCTGTCATCATACCTGCAAGACGTGCACTGATGAGGGTCCTGATAATTGCACCAGCTGTGGAACAGGTACTCACTCTGACAAAAATAGACTTAATGGAGTTATGCTTTTCTTTCCTTCCACAGTGGTGAAATCTTAAAATTGTTTATTACTGTTGCCAAAGTGCAAGCATGGGGCTGTTTTCCCTTCTCTGACCTCCTCTAGGTAAAGGTTTAGTGATTGAACCAGAGTATATTGGCTGAGGAAGTGGGGCCTGCTGAAGCTGCAGCACAACCTCTACCTTGTATATCTATGAACAGGAAGCAGGAATGAATAGTATATATTATGCTAAAGCTGCTCATACAAAACCCAATGTTATCATCTATGTCACTGCTATATTGGAGAGCAAGAATATTAGCTGCAAGTGAAATGATTCTCCCATCATTATCCTGCAGGAAGTTAGAAACTTTCCAAATGAGTTTCAGCTCCAGCCATTAAAAAAAATCCTGTCTTATGAAGTTAGTCTCATATTACAGCCAAGAGTTAGTTCAATTGGGAACGGTATGCCTTGGGGCATAGCTGAAGCATTGATGTGGTAAAAATCAATAAACACTGACTAGTGGTTTTGATATTATCTTCCATAACATTTGTATATCCCTTAAACCTTAACAAATGAGCATGCTACAACTACAAATTGAGATGCATGTATTTATTTATTTTTTGTGATAGACAAGCACAGAAGTAGTCAAACTCCTAAAACAAATCCATCTGTTTGTATTTCAATCTCAAAATAAATACAGCTGTTCTGGGAAAACTCCTGAGGCTATAGAACAAAGACTTCACCTTGAAACAGTTTTTCTCAAAAAAAAAAAAAAGAAGACACAGAGGGAAGGGATGAAGCTTAAAGCAATATTTGGATATAAAATGATACTCAAAGCATTGAACATCTATTAGGAACAGTTCTGTCCTGGTAAAGATAAAACTCTTCTCCTTCATGGCTGCCCACCTTACAGAATGCACAAGGAGAGCAGTAATCAAAGTAGCATAGCTGTAACACTAGGGGAGCTGCAGAGATTCACAGGTAAACTGGATGAATCTTTTCAAGGGCAAATAGTAGTTTAATATCCTGTAAATCTAAACCCCTATTTTCAAAATTTTTATTTAGAATTAGTGAGGAAGAAATTGAGTGAGCTTAAGAGATCTCAAGTAGAGAAGATGGCAAAAGACGAAGAAGAAATATTCTCCCCAGAGTGAACAACTGTGGGGAGTTTATGTTTATGGCTGATCTTATCAAGGATGAGCTCACTTTTCCAACCCAGCATAGTCGAGTTAACTTAATTTGTAATAAGACCTGTGACAATAATAGCATAGATAAAATTGGTTAATATTGAAATAATATTGAAAGGGAAAAAACAAACTCTCATGCCAGATTGTGGCAACACAATGATATCACCCTCTGGCTTATGCCACCACTAGTGGCAGGGTCCCAGGGAAAGACTACTCTAATCCTTTTCTAAGTTACTTATCCAAGCGTATGTTGATTCACAGCATTGAAGTCCTCTGCCAGGGCCCAAGCGCCAAATAACTTTCATTTTTCTTCATCAGTTGCTGTCTCCTTGAACCCCAGTTGGCCTCAGCAGATGGCAGCTCACACTGTGCCTGATTCTGCTGGAGGTTTCTTCCTGTTAAAAGTTTTCCTCTCCACTGTCGCTACATGCGTGCTCAGTACAAGGGATTGCAGAGAGTTAATGATTCCTTGCAATCAGCTGGTTTTCCTTGGATAGAAATATTTTGGAGAATCTGATTGTGTTACCTGTATAACAAAATTGAATATTTTCTAATTTTAGCTTTTCTCTGTGTGACTCCCTCTGGGTTGAAATTCACCCAAGGAAATAAGTATATCACTTTGAAGTGCTTAGCTTTTTTGTGCCACCTG